GCCAAAGACCAGACAGTGACTAAAGCAGTAGTTTTCAACCCATCCACCGCAGAGGTCCCGGCTGTTGGAAACAGGCTTTTTTATGTGCTGTTCCAGAACATGGGCTGAAGCCCACCAAGCAGAGCTATAAGCCCCCCTTGATGAGGGTGGCCACTAACATTACTTCACTAATCACTTGGGACAACTTAAAAAACAAAAAAACAAAGTAGGGACAGGAACATAGTTCAGGGGTTCAAAACAAGTGCTCCAAGGGGGGACACAGAGAAGAGCACACCAGACAGCGCCCACTGGCCCTCAAACAAGTCCAAGGAGCCCAGTGAAACTCTGCCCGGAGATGTGAACAGACCAGGGACAGAGAAGTGGCCGTGCAGTCCTTGGTGGTCCTCCCAGCCAAAACCTCCTTCCTGGTCAGGTAGATTGCCAACTTGGCTAGGGCCAGGAGGAGGTTGACCAGGAGTTCCCAGGAGCTGGGGGGACTGCCGATGGGCATAAACAGTACTGCAGGAGTAGTGCAGCCACAATCTCAGCAGAAGGTGCTGGACAAGGCAGAGACAGAGTTGAAGCCTGGTACACTCCAGGTAGGCATGCACCAGGGTCTCTCTCTGCTTGCAGAAGAGGCAGGTGCCAGGGAAGTCCGTGAAGTGCACCAGGTACATGCCCAAGATAACGGCTCTGTGGAGAAGCCACCAGCTGAGGTAATGATGAGGAATGGAAAAGTACTGAAAGAAGTGTATATGTATCAGGTCAGAATAGAGGAGGGAGATGTGGGTGAAGGCTGAGCGAGAGTAACACAGCGGCCTTCAGGATAAGCTTATCAGAAAGCAGCTTGAAAAAACTCGCTTGGCTCAGCCAGACACCAAGATGAGTTGCTGTCAGACTGCCAAGACTATGTTATGGGGCGGGTTGATCTGTGTGTGATTTATCAGTATATAAGTTAGCCTGTGCTTTGTTCTCATCGAGAATGAGCTGCCCCTTGCTGTTCTCCCGTGGCCATGCAAAATAAAGCGCTTCTGTTAGCCAAACAGTGATCCTGTCTGAATTTCTACATCAGCCCCCAGGATACTGCGCCAAATGAACCACTGGTCTGACCCAGTATGGCATGTATGTACTCATCAGGGATTCACTCCCATCAGAAGGCAACTGAATCAGACTATCTGTAGCAGAGACCCCGAACGCCTGCTACTTAGAAAGTGGGAAGCCAGCATCAAAGAACTGCATGTGCAGAGGCAACTGGGCAAGGGCTAGCTGCAGAGTAACATGCAGCTAGGGAAAAGCACAAGGGTTAAAGAGTAGCAGGGGGAGGGCAGCTTGGAGTTTAAGCTACAACATCTGAGGGCAAGCTAAGTACCAGGGTAATTAGAAATTCTGGTCAAAGAGAAGGGCCATGTGATCAAAAGAGATGGCATCCAGCCTGCTAAAAGCCTGGCTCTCAGTCAGAGAGCTCAGTCTGGCCCTGATTCCCAGGGGAAGCAGTATTCTTGCTGGCCTGAGCTGCAACAGGTGGGGAACCCAGGCAATACGGGTACCTGGGGAAGCTGCAAGAGCCAGCAGCTTTGGGCACAAGGCTGCTGAGACTCTGGAGAGATCAAGGAGGGGGTTTATAAGTGAACTGTATTTGTCAGAAGACTGAAGGGCCAGATGTGGCCAACAGGGGTGGTAAGGAGGCCACGGCATGCCCAAGGTACACCCAGCATAGAACCCTCTATGGGACCCAGGGACAGATGGAAAGTGGCCTTGCCTGGGACGCTGGATGTGACTGCGAGCAGCCCTGTCTAGGTCAGGGACCCCAGGGCTGGGACAGCATGTGAGACAGGACCAGAGGCCTAGACAGCAATACACAGGCAGGCTGAGGCCAAGAGGGCAGAGAGCCTTGAGCCTAGTGCGATAAAAGATGAGGGGCTGAAGCTGAGAAATCCATGGCCAGAACAAGTGGGCCAGAGCTACAGCCAGAGCTATGGTGGGCTAAAACTAAGAAGGCTGAAGAAGGCTGAAGACATTACCACAAGGCAAAAACAGTGACAGAGTAACATCTGCAAGGCCTGGGTATGGATACAGGGGAGGATGCAGGCTACAATTTTAGCCCTTAAGGCAATCAGGGCCACAGAGAGAGCTGGTGTCAAGGGGAGTTGGAGCCCCAAGCCATGACACAGGTTGGCAGGGGTCAAGTGGGCCAAGTTAAGCCTGAGGAGGAACAGAGTACAGGAGGAGCACCCAGAGCTCCCTAGCCTCTGTGGAAAGCCTCCCCCTCTTTATTTTTAAACATGAAGGTGTGGCATGAAAAACAGTGGGGAGATACCCTGGAGCAGGGCAGGATTTAGGCAGCTATTAGGGAGTATCACGGCCACCCTCAGGGCCTGTATTACTATAATGTCTATCAGTATCAATGCTATAGGATGCTAAAGACAGGGGATGAAGCTGCCTTTTCCTTGGCCAGTCCATAAGCTGCCCCACTGGCTTATGGTTCACATGTGCTGTGGAGGTTTCTAGCAGCTTGTGCTCCCGCTACAAGCTGACTTAGTGCTGCCAGAAACCCACAGCCAGACAAATATGATCCATGAGTGGAGTGATGAGTAAGGGTTCATATCCCTCTGGAAAAGGTTTAATAAAAGGTATATTAGCTTGCATTCCTACTAGGGAGTTGTATCAATGAGACCATGAGAAAAAATAAGACTAGTGGGATCTGAGATTTATTCAGTTAGGAATAATGTCAAAAGTGCAGAGTCATATATCTATATCTATATCTCTATAGATATCTATCTAGTGCTGCATTGATGGCTGCATAGATATAGATATCATAGAGGACATTCCGGTTTTCTGCTACTCTGTCCTGTGCCCTCTATTGACACAAAACCCAATGCCTTTATGTCCATTTTTCTCTTCAAGAGAAAATGGCTATTGAACATAACGGTTGGAGTTGTCTTCCTTTCAAGAGAAAAATAGAGGACATAAAGGCATCGGGTTTTGTATCCACAGAGGACAAACGGACTGTCCTCTATGATGGCCATCCTATATATATATGAATTATTACTAAGTCAGTCAGCAGTTGGTGGCATGATTCTCCTGGAAACACTTACCTCTGTGTAGGCCTGGGTCACCTGTTCATAGAGGGACTGATGGTGATGGATGGCCAACTCCAGGTCTTGCATTTCTGATGGGAGACCTCCTTCACTGCACATTTTACACCAGGCATCCACACCTGAAAGGAACTGAAACAATTCCAGAAACAATCATCAGGGTGCTTCAATCTCAACCAGCATGGAGGTGACTCATTATTTTTATGGCCATTAAAGTGAATTATTGGGTAGTGCCTTGGATAACTATGCTGTGGACTACGCCAAACAAATAATAGAGTGTCTACCCCAGGAGATTACTAGAAGGCAGAAGATGGATCAGTTTATGACATGAAGCATGATTCTTATATTTTTTTTTCCTTTTTTTAAGGAAGAGGGTTCTGTTTCTCTTAGTTTAATAGCAAATAGCACCTTCCAAACAGCTGCAGAAACATCAGTACCAAAAGCCTTTAAGAACTGGACCGTATGAATTTAACCGATATGGGAGGTACAACCCATTTCCACAATCGCCATGAAAAACAGAACGAGAGGAAGTAGTCAGTGCTCAGTGCATTTCAGTGTCAGAGCACCTCGGTCATCTCTGCTGTAGGTTTTTCCCTCAAGAGCTCAGCGCAGCCATTCACTTGGCTGTAACAGAAAACTCCTGTTACAATCAAAGCTAACATTCATCTTGGTGCTTAGTAGACATGCTAAAGCAGTTTCTAATCCCAGGCGGGCTCAGGGGGAATTGGTAATGGGATACTGAGGCTTTAACCCCTGGGTCACCCATCTGAATCTGGCCCAGGTTAGCAGTGATCAGACATTATTCCTATCTGGCAGCTGCTGAGCAGCCTGTGTGAAATGAGTTGCTGGTCTCAGTCCAGTTCCTAGTGGGCAGATGTCTTTATTTAAATAAAAAAAAAATCCACCCCTGCAAGTGGTATGAATTAGCACCTTTGTTGGCAATCTCAGCAGAGAGGCAGGCACAGAATAGGCCCAGAGGGCGAAACATCCATTCAATCCTACAGATCTCTAAATCAGGGTATCGGCAGAACATGTGGGGAAGCCCACATGACTGCTGCGTGCTCCGTGAAAGATTTGCCTCTTCAGGGCTCCTGTTGCTTTTACTAAATGGAGACCGATCCACTGATCTACCTCCCAACATGCACACATTGTGTACTCAGGCCCCTAACTACCAAACGTCACCTCGTTACTCCTTGTTAACATTTCTTCTCTCTTCCTCTCCAGTTGAACTCGCCCTCCCTATGTAAGGATCTTTAAAGCCATTTAGAAAAAGAACAGCTAATTATACAACAGATGCAGTGCGCTGTAGGATGAATGGGTAATGGCTGCCAAGCCACCCCTGTGATCACAGCATTATCCCGTCCTGAAGTGCTCACCTGTGGCTTGTTAGCACAGTACTGCTTAAAGAATAAAACACTCTGGGGTAAAAAAACAAATCCTGTCCCAGTCTTGCCCAGCCATCAATGCAGCACTTTTGTTATCAGGGTAAAGACTGCAATATAGTCAAGGTCTGAAAGCTTTTACATTATAAAGCCCTCTTTTTAGCGCACAAGGAGTTCATCAATGTGAGCTTCTGGTGCCCGTGCCTGCAAGGTGCCAGTCTGAGCGGAAAGAGGGGTTTGGATGCTAGGACTCCTGACCACCGCAGCATCACTCTGTGCTACCAATCTGCAGCACCAACCTTAACAAAGCTCACAGACCCTGCTTCATGAAGCCTAAGCAAGCAGGTTGAATGCAAGGTGGGATTCGCCTTTCGATCCGAACGGCCGGGCCTGGGGCTGAAGTGACAGCCCGCTAACCTGTTGGTTGAAACAGCAAGCAGAATTCTTCTGGTAGCCAAAAAAACTGTATAGTCTTTGTTTCAGTGGCTTCTTTCCTGGCTTGCACTGAAATTATTCCCCTTTTAGGCTTCCTGGCACAAACCCTGCTGGCTAGAGCCCCCATCTATCTAAGCACTGCCACACAGTTTCCCCCCTTAGTGAGGGAGGCCTTTTACTGATCATGGGTTCCTCAGTAAGTGTCCACTTCCATCTTGGATGATCCTGCTCTAGCAATCCTTGCCTCTCATGAGAGCATTGTAAGGGTACTTTAATGCCTGCAGAGATCAGAAGCATTGCAAGATATTTCAGTGCATGGGGCAGAGATGCAAGGAAGGTGGGAATTATGTCGACCACTGGCGAGGTGGAGGGGAAGTGGGGGCAGGGGGGAGTGGTATCGTACCTGTCCCTGCTCTCTGCACCCAGGCAGCAACTGCTACGTGTCCTGCTGCAGAGGCGTGAGCTTGGGTGTTGCAGCTGAAGGAGATGCTTGCTGCATGTTGGTGCAGCAGCCTGGCTGGCATGGACTCCACGGGGCTGCTTCGGGTGTCTGATGCACCCCCCCCCCCC